TGCCCAGGTGTGCCCAGGTGTGCCACTCACCGGCTCGTTGACGCGGGGCACGAACACGGCCAGGAAGAAGACGGCGGCCACGGGCGGGGCCAGGTACGAGGCCAGCGCCTGCATGTAGTCGAAGAGCTGCCCGCCCCGCGCCGCCTCCACCACCGGCAGCCAGGCCAGGCTCAGCCCCACCATGGCCACCACCCACAGCCTGCGGGCAGGTGAGCTCACCTGAGGTCACGCCCAAAAAATTCGGGGTCGTTGGGAGGTCGGGAACCCAAAATTTGGGAGGTCCGAGTTACCTGAGGCCTCAAAATCTGGGGGGTTTTGGGCAGCTGAGAGGCTCAAATTTGGTATTCTCGAGGTCACCTGAGGTCACCTGATGTCACCTGAGGTCACCTGGGGTCACCCCCAAAAAATTTGGGGTCGTTGGGAGGTCGGGAACCCAAAATTTGGGAGGTCCGAGTTACCTGAGACCTCAAAATTTGGGGGTTTTGGGCACCTGAGAGGCTCAAATTTGTGATTCTTGAGGTCACCTGGACACCTGAGGTCACCTGGGGTCACCTGGGGTCACCTGGACACCTGAGGTGACCTGAGGTCACCTGGGGTCACCCGAGGTCACCCCCAAAAAATTTGGGATCTCCAGGAGCTGCAGAACCCAAAATTTGGGTCCTTCAAGGTCATCTGGAGCCCAAAATTTGGGGTTTTTGGGCACCTGAGAGGCTCAAATTTGGGATTCTGGAGGTCACCTGGACACCTGATGTCACCTGAGCTCACCTGAGGTCATCCCCCAAAAATTTGGGATCCCCAGGAGCTCCAGAACCCAAAATTTGGGAGCTCAAATTTACATGAGACCACAAAATTTGGGGTTTTTGGGCAACTGAGAGGCTCAAATTTGGGATTCTTGAGGTCACCTGGACACCTGAGCTCACCTGAGCTCACCTGAGGTCACGCCCAAAAAATTCGGGGTCGTTGGGAGGTCGGGAACCCAAAATTTGGGAGGTCCGAGTTACCTGAGACCTCAAAATCTGGGGGGTTTTGGGCACCTGAGAGGCTCAAATTTGGGATTCTGGAGGTCACCTGGACACCTGAGGTCACCTGGGGTCACCTGGACACCTGAGGTGACCTGAGCTCACCTGAGCTCACCTGAG